GGCCATACGGCACGACTTGTGGGATTTTAGTTCCCCAACCAGGGATCGAACCCAGGCCTTCAGCAGTGAGAGCTCGGAGCCCTAACCACTGGACAGCCAGGGAATTCCCAGCAGTCCAAGATTGCATTCACTTAGCACAAGCAGGATTTGAACCATGGAGACAGTAAAAAGATAACTGGTCGCCAGGGGTTCAGGGAGAAGGAGGGAGAGATGCACAGGAGGAGCACAGAGGATTTTTAGGGCAGGGAAACGATTCTGCATGATACTGTAATAGTGGATACATGTCATTATGCATTTGTAAAACTCACAGAATGTACAACACCAAGAGTGAACCCCAACATAAACTATAGACTTTGGGTGATAATCAATTATAACAAATGTACTACTCTGGGTATTGATGGTAGGGGAGGCCGTGCGTGTGCAGGGATGGGGGATATTAGAATTCTCTGTACTTTTGGCTCAATTTTTCTGTGTACCTAAAACTGCTCTTTAAAAGCCTATGTTTAAAAAGCATGAAAATACCCAAAGCATTGGTGATTGTCAGGTAAAACAGTCTGGACTAAACAGAGGAGTAAAACAATGGGATAGGAAAGGAAAGTTTGAACCCAGTAGTGAAGGGCCTTAGACAGTCAGGTGGGTAATTGGGACTTTAGCCTGTAAGTCAGCGGGGGTTGTTGAGGATTACTGAGCAGGGAACTCAGGTAAAGAACAGACTTGTAGGAATAACCGTCTGGCTGCTATTGTGTGAGGAGAATTCGGGAAGATGGAGTGGAGGCAAATAGAGTAGTGAAAAAGCAGGTAAAAAGCACAAGTGGGGGGATTTCCCTGGTGGCGCAGTGGATAAGACTCTGTCCTCCCAATGCAGGGGGCTCGGGTTTGATCCCTGGTCAGGGAACTGGATCCCACATGCATGCCGCAACTAAGAGTTTGCATGCCACAACTAAGGAGCCTGTGAGCCACAACTAAGGAGCCTGCGAGCTGCAACGAAGACCTTGCGCAACCAAGTAAATGAATAAATATTAAAATAAATAAGTAAAATAAAATAAAACACCAGACCATAGGGTAGAATTCCAAATGATATTAAAAAAAAAAAAAGCACAAGTGGACCTGTAAAGAAAGGGGTGCATAGCTGTTGGTGGGAATGTAAATTGGTGCAGCCACTATAGAAAACAGTATAGAGGTTCCTAAAAAATTAAAAATTGAACTATCATGTGATCCAGCAATCCCACTTCTGGATATGTACCCCAAGGAAAGGAAATCAGTACATCGAAGGGATCTGCACCTCTCACTGCAACATTATTCACAATGGCCAAGACATGGAAACAACCTAATTGTGTGTCAATGGATGAATGGATGAAGAAAATGTTATATATACATATGAATATTATTCAGCCATGAGGAAGAAGGAAATCCTGCCATTTGTAACAACATGGATGGACTAAGTGAAATAAGTCAGATAGAGAAAGACAAATACTGTATGGTCTTACTTATATGTAGAATCTTGGTTTTTTTTTTGGCTGCGTTGTGTCTTTGTTGCTGTGCGGGGGCTTTCTCTAGTTGCGGCAAGGTTGCGGTGCACAGGCTTACTGCGGTGGCTTCTCTTGTTGCGGAGCACGGGCTCTAGGCACGTGGGCTTCAGTAGTTGTGGCACACAGGCTCAGCAGTTGTGGCGCACGGGGTTAGTTGCTCCGCAGCATGTAGGATCTTCCCGGACCAGGGCTCAAACCCGTGCCCCCTGCATTGGCAGGCGGATTCTCAACCACTGCGCCACCAGGGAAGCCCCTTACTTATATGTAGAATCTTAAAAACCCAAATTCACGGACTTCCCTGGCTGTCCAGTGGTTAAGACTCCACGATTCCACTGCAGGGGTTGCAGGTTGGATCCCTGGTCGGGGAACTAAGGTCCCACATGCCACGTGGTGGGTCCAAAAAAAAACGGGCTCACTCTCCTAATCCCTTCAGTTGCTTCCTGTTGTACCTGTAACAAAACCCACACTCCTCAGGAGGACTTGTAGGCCTTTCACATCTACACTCTCCACCTCTAATCCCTCTACCTCAGGTACTGCCTCTCTTTTCCCCCTCAGGTCTTCACACAAGAAAGACTATCTCCATCCTTTCCTTTCTTTTCTAACTCCTCCCCGGTTGCTTAAAGTGAGTTTAATCCCTGTTTGAAACAGGTTACACTGTCATTCTCTTTCATAGCACCTTGGTTGTTCTCCATGTTACCTCAGGTATATCATTACTGTACATATTTTCTCTATGCAAATACTGTATATATTCGTTTGTATGCTTCTATTTAATACCTGCCTGTCCCCAAGATCCTTTATGTTCCATGAGAAAATAGAGCCTATCGGTACGTTCACTACTCTGCCCCCAACACTTGGCAAAAGCCTGGAGATGCTCAATTCATATTTGTGAAATGAATGAATATGCTAGGCTGTGTGCTGTCATGCAGGAACCAAAGATGAAACACTGGAGGAACTCACCCTCGAGTAGGGGTGAAACGGCAGGAACATAAATAACTGTAGAGCGAGACAATGAACATCACAGGAAATTCTATGAGTCCCGAGGAAGGGGCATTATTCTAGGCAGGGAATTCAGAGCAGACTCTGCGGAGGGAGAGTACTATGTTGGGCCTGAAAGGAGGGAAAGTGGAGGGCAAATGTGGATAAAACATAGGGATCAACTTAATTGGAGTGTGGAGTATATCAAGACAAAAGAGTCAGAGAAGCTGGGAAAGAAGTGACACCAGATTGTCAAAGGGCTCACTTGCCAGGCTAAGAAGTCTGGACTGCATTCTGGAGGCAGCGGTGGGGCAACAACAGTAACTCAACTCACCCTTTGAAAACCTTTTAAAAATGTTTTCAGGTATACAGTAAAAGTAGAGATACTAGTACAATAAATACCTGCATGCTTCTCACCAACATTCAACAACTAACATTTTGCCTATTTGCTTTATATATAGATATACAGTTACGCAGATGTAGATATATAGATATGTGTGTGTGAGCATTTCAAAGTTTGTGTTACTTTTCTCTTTCTTCCCGTCTTTCCTCCTTCCTCCCTCCCTCCCTCCCTTCCTTCCTTCCTTCTTTCATTTTCTGAACATTTCAAAAGAAATCAACAGACTCCTAACATTTGTTCAAAAATTTTTTTGTCTTTATTTATTGATTTTCTTCCAGTTTTATTGAGATATAATTGACACACAGCACTGTGTAAGTTTAAGGTGTACAGCATAATGATTCGACTTACATACATCATGAAATGATGACCACCGTAAGTTTAAAACCCATCTGTCATCTCATATAGATACAAAAGGAAAGAAATAGAACAAAAATGTTTTCTTTCCTGTGATGAGAACGCTTAGGAATTGCTCTCTTAACTTTCATGTATAATGCAGTATTAATTATATCGATTATGTTGTGCATTACAGGTTCTAGTACTTATCTAGTTTGTAACGTTTGTAACTGTTGGCTGCCTTCACCCAAGTGCTCCTCCCCCACCCCTGCCTCTGGTGACCTCAAATCTGATCTCTTTTTCTACAAATTTGTTTATTCATTTGTTTTTCTGTGTGTTTTTTGCGGTACGCGGGCCTCTCACTGCCGCGGCCTCTCCCGTTGCGGAGCACAGGCTCCGGACGCGCAGGCTCAGCGGCCATGGCTCACGGGACCAGCCGCTCCGAGGCATGTGGGATCCTCCCGGACCGGGGCACGAACCAGTGTTCCCTGCATCAGCAGGCCGGACTCTCAACCACTGCGCCACCAGGGAAGCCCCATTTGTTTTTGAAGTATAACTGACCGACAACACTATGTTAGTTCCTGTTACACAAGATAGTGATTCGATATTACTATATATTTCAAAATGTTCACCACAGTAAGTCTAGTTACCATTTGTCACCATACAAAGATATTACATAATTATTTATTACCCACACTGTACATTTCATACCCATGACTAATTGATTTTGCAACTGGAAGCTTGTACCTCTTAACGTCCCTCATCTATTTCTCTCTTTCCCCCAGCCCCCTCCCCTCCGGCAACTGCCTGTTTGTTTTCTATATCTATGACTCTGCTTCTGTTTAGTTATGTTTGTTCTTTTTTGTTTTTTAGATTCCACGTATAAGTGATAACATACTTTCTTTCCTGCCTTTCTCTGTCTGACTTATTTCATTAAGCACAATACCCTGCAGGTCCATCCATTTTGTTGCAAATTCAAATTTTCATCCTCTTTTTTAAGGCTGAGTAGTATTCCATTGTGTGTGTATACCATATTTTCTTTAGCCATTCATCCATCAGTAGACAGGCTGTTTCCATGTCTTAGCTATTGTAAACAATGCTGCAGTGAACACGGGGGTGCAGACATCTTTTTGAATTAGTGTTTTCATTTTCTTCAGATAAATACCCAGAAGTGGGATTGCTGGATCATATGGCAGTTCTATTTTTAATTCTCTGAGAAACCTCCGTACTCTTTTCCATAGTGGCTACACCAATGTACATTCCCACTAACACTGCACAAAGGTTCCCTTTTCTCCACATCCTCGTCAACACTCGCTATTTGTTGTTTTTTTTTGATAACAGCCATTCTGACAGGTGTGAGGTGACATAACATTGTGGTTTTGATTTGCATTTCTCTGATGATTAGTGATTCTGAGCATCTTTCCACGTGGCTGTTAGCCATCTGTATGTCTTTTTTGGAAAACTGTCTATTCAGATCCTCTGCCCATTTTTTAATTGGGTTGTTTGGCTTTTTGATGTTGAGTTGTATGAGTTCTTTGTATGTTTTAGATATTAACCTCTTATCAAATATATTGTTTGCAAATACCTTCTCCCATTCAGTAGGCTGCCTTTTCATTTTGTTGATAATTTCCTTCGTTGTGCAAAAGCTTTTAAGTTTGATTAGGTCCCATTTGTTTATTTTTTCTTTGTTTCTCTTACCTGAGGAGACATATCCCAAAAAATATTTCTAAGACTTATGTCAAAGAGCATACTGCCGATGTCTCCTTCTAGAAGTTTTATGGCTTCGGGCCTTACATTTAAGTCTTTAATCCGTTTTGAATTTATTTTTCAATATGGTGTGAGAGGGTAGTCCAGTTTGATTGTTTTGCAGGTAGCTGTCCAGTTTCCCCAATACCACTTATTGAAGAGGCTATTTCTCCAGATTCTAAAGATGCTTTCACTCATATCCATCATACCTACATTGAACATACATACATTGAACAAATACATTGAACAAATGTAATAACTGCTTTTTACTGGTATTAGATCATCTAATACCAGTCCATTTTCAAATTTCCCCAGTTATCCCCCAAATGTCTGAAAAGCAGTTTTCGGGGCTTTTTTGTTTGTTTGTTTTTTCAGAACCAGAATCCAGTCAAGCATTTGATTGTGTGGGTTTCTTTTTTAAATTAAAAAAAAGTTACAACAATCACCACGTGACTCTTTGTTATGATATCACTTTTCCTTAATCTTTATATCTTATCTTCTGTAAAACCAGTTGTCTTATAGAATGTCTCACATTTTTTATTTACTTGATTGTCTCCTTGGGGGTGTTGTTTATCTGGTTCCTCCAGCCCCTGTAACACCTTACGTTTTTGTAGCTGTTTAGTTTATCAAACACGTTCGTATGCATTTAATCCCAACAGAATCGCTGTAAGGCTTTATCCCTATTTAACAGAAACGAATACTGAGGCTTGGAGTGCTTAAATGACTTTTCCAAAGCCAGAGAGCCGGTAAGTAGCAAAGGCAGGACTCAAGCATAAAGGGATTCACTTTAGTTGAGTTAAAACAACAACAATTAATCCCAAATAGCCTACATCTAACTGCAGATTTTCAAAGTGCATTCTCTCTCCAGAATTCAATAGATATTCCTTTTCTTTTAAAAACGTTTTCAGAAAAAGGACCTTTTGTTGTTGTTTGTTTTGTTTTGTTTTTGCGGTACGCGGTCTTCTCACTGTTGTGGCCTCTCCCGTTGCGGAGCACAGGCTCCGGACGCGCAGGCTCAGCGGCCATGGCTTACGGGCCCAGGCGCTCCGCGGCATGTGGGATCTTCCCAGACCGGGGCACGAACCCGCGTCCCCTGCATCGGCAGGCGGACTCTCAACCACTGCACCACCAGGGAAGCCTAGAAAAAGGATCTTTTAAGAAATATTTTATTTTCCTGATACCGTGAAGTACATTGCCAAGAAAAAGCAATTTGTTTTACAACGTCTAACAGCTATTTCTCTTGTCCAGCAAAACTAGCAAAATGTAACAGATATCAGGTTCCCCCCAAAGCTCCGTTTGTAACAACAGTTCACAACGTCTAAACGTTAAATGAGTTACTGAATTTATGACTTTCATAAATGTGTAAACAAAGTCAATTTATCTAAAAATAACTATTCTCTGTGCAAAGTTAAGCATATACGTGTGCGCTTATGATGCTAAAACCAACAAGGGCCTTTAGGACTGTCAGAGACGCCGTTCGGAAGTACACGTAAAGTCAGGTCTTCTCCAGTCTATTTTCTCCTCACAGCTGGGTCAGAAACTCGTGGAACAGAATTAGGAGAAGCTTATAACAGTCTACAATCAAGAGATAAGGGGTGTGGTGCGACGATGAGCAAACCAGGCAAAGGAATTAGGATGATGGATTCAGGAGGAAACTGGGGAAGACATTTCTGGGCTCCCCAGGAATTCAGGCCTCCAGCTTGGAGCCAGCTGCTATAAGGGGGCCCTAGAAGGGAGAGACATAGGCAGGGGCTGAGTACTGAGAAACAGTGTTCTCAACAAGAAACTATGGAAATCTTAACTCAGAGAGAGGGATTCCCAACACTGCCCATACATCAAAAAACGTTTTTAAGAAGCTGACTCGCTTTCGCCTCTCGCAAACTTCCACAAAGGTGCAAGCAGGCGAGCACGCCCCACAAGTGCCCTTCCCTGGTTTTATTGGCTGCCCTGGCCTGCCCCTTTCTCAATCTGTTTCTTTCATTGGTTAGCATTGATATGCTCCTGCTTTCACAGACAATTCCCGGAACCAATCATCTCCAATCACCGCTCCGTCTCTCCGCCGACTTGTGAGTGGCATCCATTCCAACCAATAAAAAATGAAAGTGAGGCTGTGGAGACTACACTCCTCCCCTTTCTCCTCAACTCTTTCTGCAAATGGTAGAAAAGGTTGAGCAGCTGATACGAACCACCAATCCGTAAGGGCGGAAGAGGGGCGAGGAGAAAAGTGATGGGAGGGGGTGACGTGGCGGTGACGGAGGCATAAACTAAAATGAGTGGCAGAAATACTAGCCAATCGACAATCACACTGGCTGGGTAGTCTGCATTCTCGAGTCCTCCCTGAGCGCTGGAGACTTCGGGAAAGCACCAATGAGCTTTTCATGAGTCTGATTGGCCTTCACCTGCACCAATCAACGGCGTGCCTGGCGGAAGCGTCCCACCACGGGCTCTCACTGGGCGCTGGTGGAATGACATGCCCAAGAGAAATGCCAATGTCCGAGGGGTCTTCCGCAAGTGACACTCAGCATCACCAATCGACTTCCTCCTTCCCGGCGGCAGAGCCCTCCTCCCCGCGGCCGGCCTGGCTGGGCGGGGACGCTGCGCGGCGGCGGCTGATGCGCTAGCCGAGTGGGGCCCTCCGGACGGCGACGGCGGCTCTCGTAGGCGGTTCCGGTCCTGTATCTCCGGGCGGCGGCGGCTCATGGCGGCGACGGAGCTGAGAGGAGTAGTGGGCCCGGGCCCGGCAGCCATTGCGGCCCCGGGCGGCGGCGGCGGCGCCGGTCCCCCCATAGTGGGAGGAGGCGGCGCCGGTGGCCGCGGAGACTCGGGGCCGAGCTCTGGGATCGCCCCGGGCACGGTGGCCGCGGTGGCTGCGGGCGGCCCGGGCCCCGGGGCCGGGGGAGTGGCGGCGGCGGGCTCGGCTCCTGCGCCGCCGGCGGGGGGCTCGGGCGCTGGGGGTTCGGGCTCGGCTCGCGAGGGCTGGCTCTTCAAATGGACCAATTATATCAAAGGCTACCAGCGGCGGTGGTTCGTGCTGAGCAACGGGCTCCTGAGCTACTACAGGTAACTGCTTCCGGGGCGCCGTCCCCCACTGCAGCCCACAGCCCCTGTGCCGTTACCCTCTCCAGCCCGCGCAGCAGCCAAGGTCGCCCCAGGCCCCTTTTCCTCACTTGCGCTCTTTGACAGCCCGCGACACGAGTCCACCATCACGAAAGTGAACGCCCCAGGACTTACCGCTCCACCTGGGTGATCCACCCTTAGTGCCATACCTTCCCCTCGGTCCCTGGCCCTTCCAGTTGTTCGGAGAGCATCTACTCTTCCATTGTGTTTCCAACAGCGCATCGGTGCAGTGATTAATTCTGCAAGGAAGGCGCTGTTGTAGGTGTTTAAGGGACACGTATGGGAGGGCAAAGTCCAGGCACCGCTCGCAAGGAACTTACTGTAAAAAGTCCCAAGGCTTAGCTTTCTGTGCCTAGTCTCCAGAATTCAAGGTTATTAGCAGCCCTTTATGTACCCGCCTTTGCTGTCTCCACATTCAAGCACAAGGACACCACGCGTAGGGTGGCCTCGGTATCTGTCCCCTCTCTTTATCTCTTCAAGATTTGCCTAGGCTTTCGCCTTCTGGACAGACCAGAATGGAGAAGTGCACTCCAGTGTTTCTTTTTGCCTGCCCCACGTCCTCCTGTGGGAATCATTAAGTGTTCCATCCAGTATTTCTGGGATCTCTCTGGTCAGTGAGGTTTAAGTTTCATTAAGAGAAGAGTCCGTGTCTTTTGTATGACTGCTTCTGTTCAAAAATGCTTGTTTTGGGATGTTCAATATATTTTTACGGTGACCCACAATCTTCTCACAACATAACATGCTTTTGGCTACTCATGTTACTATAGATAGAGAGGTTAGGGCACTGAATTTGGAGACAGGACATAAACATTTCCTGAGTGCTGGACAGTTTGGATGGGTGTTTAACATACGGTATTCTTTGACTCCCCCAAACAATCTGGAAGTTAGGAGATATTCCCATCTTACCAATGAGGAAACGGAGACTTAGCTTGGGCAACTTTCCCAAGGTCTTGAGTCAGGATTTGAAACTAATTCTTTTCACAACAACACAACCTAAAACCCAGGTTAGTGTTACATGGATCAGTCAGATATAGAGATAACTACTTATCCATAGCTAGTACATTTATAGATCATGATACTATGTATATTTTATACAAAATGTATAGAAGTTCCCTGTAAGGGAGATTTTGCTTAATATAATGGCATTTCTAAGTGAAATCTTTTTATAAAGACCATTCTATTTGGGCCCCAAAACAGTGTTGTTAAGAACGGCTCACTCTATATTTCTTTTCCTCTGCCAGTAGTCACTTTGCCACCAGGAGGGTTTGGGTGAACGAATCTCTTTTCCACCAACTCCATTGTATTGGCTCTTAAAGAATTTTGAGAGGAAATTGAAGATGGGAGGTGGATTGATGGAGAATGAACAGTTTCTAAAAAAAAAAAAAAATGATGGGGGTTGGAGGTTGTTGAAGTAGGAACACAGGCTTATCTGGTCTCTAACAGTGGAAAATACCTTAGCACATCCTCACTGCTTAAGCCACATTAATTGTGAACACTTGTGTATTACGTTTCTTTTTTTTTTTACCATCTTTATTGGAGTATAATTGCTTTACAATGTTGTGTTAGTTTCTGCTGTATAACAAAGTGAATCAGCTATACGTATACATATATCCCCATATCCCCTCCCTCTTGCATCTCCCTCCCACCCCTCTAGGTGGTCACAAAGCACCGAGCTGATCTCCCTGTGCTATGCAGCTGCTTCCCACTAGCTATCTGTTTTACATTTGGTGGTCTATATATGTCAGTGCTACTTTCTCACTTCGTCCCAGCTTACCCTTCCCCCTCCCTGTGTCAAGTCCATTCTCTATGTCTGCGTCTTTATTCCTGTCCTCCCCCTAAGTTCATCAAAACAATTTTTTTTAGATTCCATATATATGTGTTGGCACAGGGTATTTGGTTTTCTCTTTCTTACTTCACTCTGTATGACAGTCTCTAGGTCCATCCACCTCACTACAAATAACTCAATTTCGTTTATTTTTATAGCTAATGATTCCATTGTATATATGTGCCACATCTTCTTTATCCATTTATCTGTCGATGGACACTTAGGTTGCTTCCACATCCTGGCTGTTGTAAATAGTGCTGCAGTGAACATTGTGGTACATGACTCTTTTTGAGTTATGGTTTTCTCAGGGTATATGCCCAGTAGTGGGATTGCTGGGTCGTATGGTAGTTCTATTTTTAGTTTTTTAAGGAACCTCCATACTGTTCTCCATGGTGGCTATATCAATTTACATTCCCACCAACAGTGCAAGAGTGTTTCCTTTTCTCCACACCCTCTCCAGCATTTATTGTTTGTAGATTTTTTGACGATGGCCATTCTGACTACTCTGAGGTGATACCTCATTGTGGTTTTTTTGTTTTTGTTTTTGCGGTATGCGGGCTTCTCACTGTTGTGGCCTCTCCTGTTGCGGAGCACAGGCTCCGGATGCGCAGGCTCAGCGGCCATGGCTCACGGGCCCAGCCGCTCCGCGGCATGTGGGACCTTCCTGGAACAGGGCACGAACCCGTGTCCCCTGCATCGGCAGGCGGACTCTCAACCAGTGCGCCACCAGGGAAACCCCCTCATTGTGGTTTTGATATGCATTTCTCTAATGATTAGTGATGTTGAGCATCCTTTCATGTGTGTGTTGGCCATCTGTATGTCTTCTTTGGAGAAATGTCTGTTTAGGTCTTCCGCCCATTTATGGATTGCATTGTTTGTTTTTTTGATATTGAGCTACATGAGCTGCTTGTATATTTTGGAGATTAATCCTTTGTTTCTCCCATTCTGAGGGTTGTTTTTTTGCCTTGTTTATGGTTTCCTTTGCTGTGCAAAAGCTTTTAAGTTGCATTAGGTCCCATTTGTTTATTTTTGTTTTTATTTCCATTTCTCTAGGAGGTGGGTCAGAAAGGATCTTGTTGTGATGTATGTCGTACAGTGTTCTGCCAATGTTTTCCTGTAAGAGTTTTATAGTGTCTGGCCTTACATTTAGGTCTTTAATCCATTTTGAGTTTATTTTTGTGTATGGTGTTAGGGAGTGTTCTAATTTCATTCTTTTACATGTAGCTGTCCAGTTTTCCCAGCACCACTTATTGAAGAGGCTGTCCTTTCTCCATTGTATATTCTTGCCTCCTTTATCAAAGATAAGGTGACCATATGTGTGTGGATTTACCTCTGGGCTTTCTGTGCTGTTCCATTGATCTGTATTTCTGTTTTTGTGGCAGTACCATACTGTCTTTATCACTGTAGCTCCATAGTATAGTCTGAAGTCAGGGAGCCTGATTCTTCCAGCTCTGTTTTTCTTTCTCAGGATTGCTTTGGCTTATGTATATCATTTGCATTATTATATTCAGAGTTGATTTTCATTTTAACCCTTTCTAATTACTAATCCAGGACTATCAGTTTAAGGTTAAATCACAAATCTAAAATTTTAGTCTGCTCCAGAGTTTTTCCCCTACTCAGGTTCATGTTTTCCTGTTACACTGGCCATCATTCTAATGTTCAATTGATTCATGTCCTAACTTGGCTTGTAAGTCACTGTTAACACTGATTCCCCATTTTCAAAAGTTGTGTATCAGCTGAGGGCCTTAATGTGTGGTCATTTTTCCTCATCCAAGTTCCTAATCAAATCTGCTTTCTAGCTCAGCTGAGCCTTTGATCAGTACCAGTCTTGATCAGTATTGATCTTGGTTGGACAGTAATAACCTATATGCTGCTATCTTTTAAGTACTTGTAACCCCTTTTCACTTCTCTCTTACAGTAGCTAGTGGTACCTGTCTGACTACAGCTAAAACTACTTCCAAAACATATCAAACCACATATTGGGAAATATACCACGGGCCTGTCCTTGCCAGCTAAGATGGTTCCACTCACACACCAACCAAGCAACAGGATCCAAAGTTATCAAATCTACGCACTACCCTCAAAATCGCATTGAAGTACTTCCTATCAACGAATTGGTAGTTTATTCTTTCGAACAGGTTCTTTGGGTCCCCATCTCCTTATTTAGCCAACTCGTCTTTCCTCCTGCTTTTCTTGCCTCCAAAACCAATCGTATCTTGTATATGCCTTTTACAAAATACTGTTTTCTTTTTAGCTGAGTACTTCCTAGACCCATGCTCTGATGAACTGTCCTAATAGGCTTTGGCAAGCCTTCTTTTTACCTATCCTGTTCTTCCTCACAAAGTTACACAGATCTCCGGTTACTTAAAACCATATGTAGAACCCCAGCTCTCCTAGACACATCATGACAAGCTCATAGTATTAGTTTTCCTGGCTAGCCTCTAGAGACTGAGTTACTATTTCGGCTGGCCTTTTCAGGGAAGACCTTACTAACCAGAAAATACCACCTAATACTGAGGTGCCTAAAGAACTTATCTTGCACTCTGAAAAGCATGTCTTTCTCGCTTCTGCACTCACCATTTATAAGCATAGGTGTACCTGCTTGAACCCAAGAGCTCCGAAGTTAAGCCCCCCCTACTTCCAGAGTTCTTTGGTATTTTAGAAACTGCTACAGACATTATGTGATTTGAGAAACTTCTTTAGTTCATGAAGATGACCCAAGCAGAAGAGATTCCTAGGAAGTGGCTTGTGGAATATACCAACACGTTGTGAGGAGTGTGGTAGACGGTCCAAGCAACACCTTTGGAGTAGAAAGCAAGGGTGAGCTGGCCTGTCAGCTGCGGGTCTGTAATTCAGCCTGCATTATTCATAATGTAACTGAAGCTTGGGGGCAGGGGAGGGGAGGTAAGAATAGAAAAACCAGGGATTCACGTTACAGTGTGGCAGGTGCGGGCGTGATGGAAGATGGCCTGGTTTATTGAGGACCCGTACCCCCCTCTCCCCGCCCCGGCCATCCCATACTGCTCATTTGTGCATCTGAGGAAGAAAAACCAGTTTCATGGGACAAACCGAACGATAGCAAATCTGTCTTCCTAAACACGGCACACAGACTTTCTCAAAGCCACCAAATCTTAGTTTCCAGAGATGGAGTGTGTGTCGTCTCTGGCATGCAGGAATTCTGGACGTGCCAGGTATGTTTGGCCGCTTGGCACTCGTGAAAGAGAAACGGCTCTGCTTTGCACTGTGGCAGTTGGCAAAGGACTTTGACCTCTTTATGTTCCAAGTTGGTCAGGGAAAAACTGCAGTCTCAACATGCAGGTCCCTGGGCATAATCAGCGGGTGGGGGAAATGAGCACAGTTTGCCCTGTACTCTCAGTTGTGCTAGCAGCTTGATCTTTTATGCCAGGTCTCTTGTAGCTTGTTGTCACCAACCAGTGCTGTAAAGTTCAAAAGTTAGTCTATTAATAGAACTGTCAGTCAGTAGAAATGGGGAAAATTTTTATACCCAGTCCTCTGAGAACAGATTTGCTGAATCTCTCCTAGCTATTAATAGGATGGCTTAGGAGTTCCCACCAACAGAGGTCAGTGGACCTTAGGAAAGAATATATTCCAGAAAGATTATACCACCTGGTGATTCTTTAATGATTATTCTTTCTTTACTCCCACAGAAAGCTAGTTATTCCTATTTCATATCATTTGAGCTGTAGTCAGTATTTAATACTCTAAACGTCTAAGGGTGCCTTACACTTCTGCAAGATAGTTGTTAAGAGTAGTATGAGAATTTCATTTGGGCTGAGTTATAGTTGGGGGAATGGGTTGTTAAATACATGTAAAATGGAGCTATTCTTTCTCTTAGAGAATAAGATTATTTTACAAAATTTTGTTGCATGAGTTTATAAAGCACTATTTCATAATTATATCTTGCTAAGTAAAAGGTAATTCCTGACTGCAAAAGGGCATGAGGGAACTTTCTGGGGTGATGGAAATGTTCTACATCTTGATTGTGGAGGTGGTAGCACAATTGTATATATTTGTCAAAACTCACTAAATTGTACTCTTAAAACCGTTGGGTTAATACCGTATGTAGTTACCCGTCAGTGAAGCCTATTCTTTAAAAGCTAAGGGTGAGAGGGACACCAGAGCAATAAAATCTTATAGGCTCTGAAAGGAAATCCCTACTGATTGTTTTTTGAATTTTAGGGAGCCATTTGAGGGAAATATTAGAACTTGCTAGTTCCTAAGACTGCTGTATTTTCGAAAGGCTTAGAGTTATGAAATGGAATGTGATGAAGGATAAACCATGCATCAACTTTCTACTTAGCTTGTCTTTGGCTCGTTATTGCAGGTCAAAGGCAGAAATGAGACATACCTGCCGTGGTACCATCAACCTCGCCACAGCCAACATCACAGTGGAGGACTCCTGCAACTTCATCATTTCCAATGGGGGTGCTCAGACCTACCATCTGAAGGCGAGCTCAGAAGTAGAGCGGCAGCGCTGGGTCACAGCCCTAGAACTGGCCAAGGCCAAGGCTGTGAAGATGCTGGCAGAATCAGGTAGGGAGCAAAGAATATTGTGTCTGGGGAACATTCTGTTTGCCCCTCTTATGCACGAATCTTATTTTGTCCCTCATTGTCATTGTCATTTAATTAGCAGCTATCTCCTGGATGTCTCAGGCTTCTGCTCACCAGGCAGAATTTCTCCTGGAGTGCTGGTTTTCAGCTGGGGGCAGTTCTGCCCCAAAGGGGACATTTGGCAAAGGCTGAGCATTGGTGGTGCTAATGGCTTCTAGGGAGTAGAGGCCAGAGGTGCTGCTGAACCTCCTGCCGATGCACAGGGCAGCCCCACAGCAGAGAGGTAGCTGGCCCAAAATGTCAGAGTTGTTCAGATTGGGAAGCTGTCTTAGGAGCATATCAGTTATCCTTTTGGCTCTTAATGCCAACTGACTACCTTAAAATTTTGAGAAATAATTATTTTATTGATAGATCAGTCAGGATTATTACAACTCACACTTTGGATCTGTCCTTACTTTTTTCTTTTCTCCTGACATCTTCTTACTTAACTCTTTTCTGGTTGAATTGAAACCAACAGTCTTCGTAGATGGCCAGAAACATTGTATGTGAAACCCCCTGGCAGTGGGCAAAGAGACACCTGATGGGTGGTGCTGCTCTTATATCAGTCTGGGCAGAGGAGTGTCCAGCCCTTTGTTCAACCCAGCTTGGTGCCTGGGCTGGTGGCCAGAGCTGTTTCATGCTTGAGGCACATTAAAAAAATAATAATTATATGTGATATTTTCTGTGAAAAATCTTTGTTTTGCTACCATAGTCTCACTAAAAAGAACAATCTAATTATGTTTTGATTTTTCTTGAAGGAAAATGGTAGGATTTCCCTGCAGATGTTGATAGTTTAGTCATTCTGAGCTTGTTCACTTAGAGCTGACCAAGATGCTCACCTGCTAACTTTTGTTCATCTCTTGTGTTTCTTATCCCTTGTTCTTTCCCACGCTGTGTTTAATATCTCTTAAGCAATGGAAGGAAAGTTTGCTGCTTTGTAAATCTCCGGGTAACAGGTTATATTTTGACTCTGGCCCTGCCTGTTTGCCTAACAGATAGGGCAGGTCCGTCCTTGTTTCTTTTGTTTTGATTTTAGTGCTGATTTTAGCTCCCCCAAAGGAAGTGACATTGCTGGAAAAGAACTTCGCAGTTACAAAGTGTTAAGGACAAAACTGATAGCAAGAGGCACAACACAGCTCTCTGCTTGACTTATTATTTGAAAGTCATTTAACAGAAGACCTTGCACAGCTTTCAGTGCAGGGGTGGCTTTAGTGTCAGATGAGCTCATCCTGAAGTTCCTGAGTTCTCCTTTAGAAAAGATACGTTAATGAGTCTTTTGATGATGTGGACATGGTGTACAGAGAGCATCTAGACTGCAGTTCTCAACCCATGTCATACAGGCCCACTGATCACCCAACAGATGATAGTGGATTTGCACTAATAATCAGTGTGACTGGATTGGGACCCTCAAGCTAGGGTTAAAAGGCTCAATAATTCATTCCCAGCCCCAAGAGCCATATAGCTTCTCCATCCTGTCCTCTGGGTCACTGGTTCGCAAACCTCAATGTGCATCAGAGTTACCCAGACAGCTTATTCAAAATACAGATTTCTGGACCTTGCCTCACACCAGCCAAATCAAGGTTTTTCTGGGGGTGGGGCCAGAGACTGCACCTTTAAGAAGAACCCCAGGGTTGGGACATGAGGTGATGGAGGAGGGTGGTCAAAAAGTACAGGCTTCCAGGGACTTCTCTGGTGGCGCAGTGGTTAAGAATCCGCCTGCCAATGAAGGGGACACGGGTTCAATCCCTGTTCCGGGAAGATCCCACGTGCTGCGGAGTAACTAAGCCTGTGCTCCACAACTACCGAGCCCACGTGCTGCAACTACTGAAGCCTGCGCGCCTAGAGCCTGTGCTCTGCAACAAGGGAAGCCACCGCAACGAGAAGCCCATGCACCGCAACGAAGAGTAGCCCCCACTCGCCGCAACTAGAGAGAGCCCACTCACAGCAACGAAGACCCAACACCGCCAAAAAAAAAAAAAACAGATTAAAAAAAACAGATTAAAAAAGAAAGGTACAAGCTTCCAGTTATAAGATAAATAAGTCCTGGGGATGAAAATGCAACATGATGACTGTGGTTAACACTGCCGTTCGGTGTATTTGAAAGTTGTTAAGAGAGTAGATCCTAAAAGTCTCATCACAAGGGGAAAAAAACCTTCTTTTTGTATCTATATGAGATGATGGAGGTTAACTTATTTTAACCATTTCACAATATATGTAAGGTGTATGTGCTGTACACCTTAAACTTGTAGCAGTGCTATATGTCAATTACATGTCAATAAAACTAGAAGGAAAAAAAGCGTGAGCAGAAAAATTGCTTATTGTTGTCTGTCCCAGGAAAAAAAAAGTAGTAGTACCCCAGCTGTTTGTGACACAGGTGGGCTGTGGACCACCTGTAGGCGAATCGCCTGGCAGTGGTGAGCTCTCAGTCGGTCAGAACGCACAGCCTGAGGAGTGTCAGTTTGGTTGTGGGCAGAGTGGGTAGGGTTCCGACTCTCAGCCCTGGGCTTGGAGTCCTATCACTCACCTTTCCGCCCGTACAGATGAGTCAGGAGATGAAGAGTCCGTCTCACAAACCGACAAGACCGAGCTGCAGAACACCCTGCGGACCCTGTCCAGCAAAGTGGAGGACCTGAGCACATGCAACGACCTGATCGCCAAGCACGGCACGGCACTGCAGCGCTCGCTCAGCGAGCTGGAGTCCCTGCGGCTGCCGGCCGAGAGCAACGAGAAGATCAAACAGGTCAACGAGCGGGCCACGCTCTTCAGGATAACGTCCAACGCCATGATCAACGTAAGCGTGCACATGTCTGCCTTGCTTTTTGCTTCTTTCCCTCTTTGAAATGTAATTCTTCCCAAATGCTGGAAAATTGTAGTTGGTAAAGCATAGGATGTTAGGTCCTGCTTAATCGTTCAAGGGATTTGAGTTACATTTTTTTTGTTGCATGAAATGGAACAGGGTGCACAGATGGAATGACATTCCCACTCTGCTTGAATGGTCAGGAGGACACTGCTCCAGCCCTGCGTCTGCCACCAGCAGGGCATCTGATGGTGATGTTAGTTGAGTCCCTTCACCTCTCTGGGTTGTGGTTCTATCTGTCTATCTATCTACCTATCTATCTATCTATCTATCTATCTATCTATTTTTCTCTAACTTTATCTATTGGAACTAAAAGGTCTTCATGGGCCCTTTCCACTTCCATGTTCTTTGAGATTTTGGTTGGAGTCTGACCCCTACTTTGCTAACGCACCCTGGCCTACAGTGTGGTAAGTGGGGGCTGGATTAAGTACTAGTGAGAACCTTGTAATCCTAGTTAGTCCCATCTTGAGTCTTGGATTTGAGGGGTAATTCTGGGTGATAAGACAAAATATTCAACCTTGGGTACTTTTCTTTTCAAAAGAAGGGGCCAGTGCTTCTGCCTCCTTATGACTAGCTCGGGTGCTGTCGTTGCTTTAGGGAATACTTTGGCTGCTTGGGTGCAGGGCTCCAGGTAAACCCAACGTGCCACTGACGTTGGTGACGTGTGTCCGATACTGGGTGATAGGTATGGAATGAGTGCACAGTTTAAACAGCGCCCTTTTTCCTCTGCTGGCGACTGATCCTCACCCGGCAGGTTCGTCAGCTTCCGCATAGGAACACGAGAGGATGCTTCATACAGCACGTGAGAACACTGCTCTTTGAGAAGGGGCTTGTGCAGGTGGTGGTTTTGTTTTTGTTGTTTTCCTATCTAATTAAATGGGATGAACTTACTTCACTAGGGTCAGATTTTTCCTTGTTTGAGGAGTGATAATAAGGCATCTGCTTAGAATTAGTTGTGTTCACGTGGCTCTTAGAGATCGAAGGTCTTTTCCTATGACCAAGGGAAAATTTGTTTTTTTGCATTTAAAATCCCTTTGTTTCTTAATAGAAAGTTGTAGTAACTTTTACTTTCGTGTCATTTTCTGAAGCGTTGAACACTCTCTTCAGTGCTCCGACTCCCACGAAGTAGAGGAGAGAAATTATTTTGTCCCCTTAAGGACTGCAGGCAGATCAGTGTCTCCCAGCACCATTCTGCAGACCAGCACTGGCGCTTGTGTTTCTGATGTTGGGTCGTGTGCTCTCTTTCCAAACTCTCGTACTTCTTGGTGCCTGTGTGCCTGTTTTTCTGGTCCTCCTGTGATCAGGAAAACCTCATAAATCATACAGGTCATTTAATCAGTAGTAAATAAATATACTTTTGAAATAGAACAGCTCAGGACACAACCATCTGTTAACCTTTTATCCGTGTCAGGTGAACACCCTGCTCCATGACAATTTTTTTCCTACTCTGATAGGAAAAATTTGCTAAATAAAACACCTCTTGATTTAAAAATGTCTCATAAAACTAGAACTTTATTTTGGACTTTTCTCTTGAAAATATGCTTATCTTCGTTCCTGGCGACAGTTCTTTTTCCCTGAGTTCTAGGTATCCAGAGTTTGTGTCAGTTCTCATTCTGTTCTCCCTGGGTGCACTGTCTCTGCCCCTTTTATAGCCAGTTACTGCAGGAAATGCATTTTTTAGCCCTGTGTTATTTCCTTTGTACCTTTTAGGGGATGATGGCAAGGCCTTAAAACTGACATGCTAGCACATCACATCTCTAAACAAGCAGTGTTATAGCAAAGGAAGAAGGCACTCATTTCACTCAGTTGCTTGCTTGCTTAGGATATAGCTTTTCTTATTATCAGAGTGAGGCTAAGCAGGGGAGCGCATTTGACACTGTTAGCGTATGCATTTGCTAATGCAGTGAACACCTATTGAGCACCTTCTGTGTTCTAGGCACTGTGCTGGGGATATAAAACTAATGTGGCTGTGGTCCCTGCCCTCAGGGGCCAGAGAAGTGAACAGATCACTATGGAGCGTGCAGCATGCCAGGAGAGATGTGAGCACAGGCTGCTGTGCTCTAGTACCGTGGGATTGTCTAGCTCAGACCAGGAGGATCTGAGAAGGTAGCCCCCCAGATAAATTCTGAAAGACCCGAGAGAGTCTTCTTATGAAAAAAAGGCAACAAAGAGTTTGGGGTCCTGAAGTCCAACTGCCCCAGTTCCCCTCTCTGTGACCTGGGGCACCCTGGTCCCTCGGTGCCCCCAGTTCCTTTTCTGTAAATGGTGATGATCCTGGTAGCTGCTCTCAGGGTGTGGAGAGGCTCTTATTAGATAGTGGATGTCGAGTGTTCAGTAAAGTGCCTGGCATATAATCTCCTCTCGCTAACTTTGAGTTGTGACCCCTGTTCTTCAAAGGAAGTGAGGGAAGAGAGTTGATCCAGGTGAGGTGTGTGTGGATCCCTCCCTCTCTCCCAGAGTCTGGGAACCACTTGCAGTTGACTGTTACCCAAGCAAGGAAGTAGCTAGAGATAAGGCTGAAGAGGAGCTAAGTATGGGGGGTGGGGGGCTGTGTGCAGATCCTACCAATGGGCTTGGTAGTAGTGGATTAGAAGAGGATAAGACCGATTTTGATGCAGGCTTAACTCTTAATAGATAACACCTTATTGAATGATTACTGTGAGCCTGATCTAAGTGCTTACATGTTAAGCAACAACTTTTGAGGTGGCTACTGTTGTCATTCTTTGTTTACAGATGAGGAAGATGAGTAACTTGCTAAAAATTCCGTAGTTAGATAGTAGGATGGAGCTGTGACAATTCCAGAGTATGTCCTCTATACTGCTTCTGAGTGTGGAGGAACAAAAGAAATGTACAGAGTCCAGAAATATTGAAGAAAAATCAGTAGGATTTGATCATTGGATGTGGGGAGGGAAGAAAACTAAGAATCAAGGATCCCTCTTAGTTTTCTGGCTTGGGCAGGTGGAAGGGCCCTGGAACTGTTCTTGGGATGGAGATGCAGAGTCAGAAAGGGAACATGGTGAGTTCATATGGGACCCACTGATTCTGAGATTACTCTGAGCCATTGAGTAGGCAATTGGATAGTCTGGTCTGCAGCTCCCTGAGCGCAGAGCTGGAATTACTGATTTAATAGGCATCAGCCCATAGGCAAAGGTTGAAACCATGGGAGTAGATGTTCTATTTACCTATTAGTTTCTCTTTAACAGGGTATAGACTTTTAAGCTTACATTGCTCCCTTCCTTTATTTATTAAGCAAACTGCATCAGGCTCTCGCTATGTACAGAGCAGCTCAGTTAGGAGCTGGAGATAAGTATGTGAATAAGCTGTAAACGGTGTCTTCAGGTGGCTCATAAGTCCATCTGGAGAGAAAGTCACGATCCTGCTGTGGATGGTGTGAAATAGAAATATGTGCAAAGTGCTGTGGAAAGTAGAGGAGAGATGGGGTTGGGTGGGGTGTCACAGAAGAGGTAACATTTGCCATAGATCTTAAAGAAATGAAGAGGACTTGACCAAGCAGAGAAAGGGGATAGGAGAGCATTCTAGGCCAAGCAAATAGCACGTGCTCCGATGGGCAGGCCTGAAAGAAATCTGCATGTCTGAGAAAGGGTGAGCAGTTCAGGGTGGCTCCATGGCAGGGTGCAGGGGTGCGTCCTGCTGCCTGGACAGGAGGATACAAGGGCCATTTATGTCCATGACCAGTAGTTAGGATTTGGTCCTAATGTCGATGGGGAGCCAGTGAAGGGACTAATATGGTCAGGTTTGTGTTTTGTCTCTAGATCTCTTCTTCGATTCATCAGGTAGGCTTCTAATTTTTAAGATCAGTTGTTATCTTAGTGACCAAAATAAAAACCAATTAAATTTCCCCATATTTGGTTTAATTCACTGCAGACTCCCTGTTCTCAGTGTCTGAATTCCTCAGTTTTAGGTGACTTGAGTTTAGTTGAGAATGTATTGAAAGCAATACATGCTTACCCCATGCTTTTCCTCACCTTTTAGTCAATAGGTTTCTTCTTTGGAGCAGTTCACAGCTGCCCTTTGTGATGTTGCACAAATACTTTGTCTAGGTTTGTTGCTCACTTGGTGTTTGTTGTTTGGTCCTCATGAGCAGGAAAATACGAAAGAACTATGACAGCCACATTCAATATTTTTTTCTGGAGTTGACCTTGATTGTGTCATGGAGCTGGCTGTCCCTGATACCGTGAAATAACAGGGAAGGCCTTTCATTTTAATTTGCTAGTTCAGGTTCCCAGAATAAAGTTACTTACTGGGCTTACAAAGGCCTGAGGGGAATCTCTGACTAGCTGAGTTGAGGTGACCTATATCGACTCTTTCTCCATACAGGCCTGCAGAGATTTCCTTGTGTTAGCCCAGACCCACAGTAAAAAGTGGCAGAAGTCCCTGCAGTACGAAAGGGACCAGCGTATCCGCCTGGAAGAGACCCTGGAGCAGCTGGCAAAGCAGCACAATCACCTGGAGAGAGCCTTCCGAGGAGCCACGGTGCTGCCGGCAAACGCTCCTGGCGGCGCTGCTTCTGGCAAAGGTGAGCTGCTGGCTTGGCTCTTGGACGGCCTGTCTGATCCTAGCCACATGCTTTTCTGCAGCTGATAGAGAGAGCTCCAGATTCTCCAGAATCAGCGACTCATGTGAGATGGAATTCGAGCCCTTTATTCTTCTGACTTCCCCATTGCTTTCTACCATTTGTTACTAGGTTTGTGGTTAATATTTGAAAGCTCCAGCTGTGCCAGGTTTTGATAAATGCAGCCCAAGGAAACAAATGCGGCTTCCTCCTTGCAGGTCAGTGCTGCTCCGGCAAAGGAGATGTGAGTGATGAGGATGACGAGAATGAGTTCTTTGATGCTCCTGAGATCATCACCATGCCTGAAAATTTGGGCCACAAGTAAGTCATTCTTGATTCCCACCCCCTGCAAAATGAGCATATCTGGCCATGGAAAGGTTAGAAATGTTTCAGTGGAAGTGTCATAGTTGTTTACTAAGATATGGACTCTTTTCCTTACGTACGTGGAAGACTGTCAGCTTTTTTACATGAACAAGTTCTCCAGAGATGTCTATTCATACGTACTGCTTTCTAAGTGTCGTCGTTTGATCACTCATCAATAAATTTGTGCCGTGTCCTTAGCATTCTGCTTTGTAAAGACATGGTGAGGACCAAACTCTAGTTCTGATCTTTATGCTAATTCTCATACGCTTCCCATCTGTGTAGACGTACTGGCAGCAACATCAGTGGAGCCAGCAGTGACATCAGCCTTGATGAACAGGTAACTCTTATTTGGGAATTACCAAGACTGGGGGACTTAGGTGTCATTCCCAAGGATTTGCTTATAAAGTACTAAGAGAAACAGAAAGTACTGGGGTTTTTTTTGTTTTTTTTTTAAGCATGGGGGAAGGGAAGCTTATAAATACTGGGTTTTCTGTTCTTTGTGAGTGATTGAATGGCTTTGTTTTTGCGCTTAGTACAAGCATCAGCTGGAAGAGACCAAGAAGGAAAAGAGAACGAGGATACCATACAAGCCAAACTATAGCCTCAATTTGTGGAGCATCATGAAGAACTGCATCGGAAAAGAACTCTCCAAGATCCCCATGCCGGTGAGGGTCTTGCACAACCAGGCTCTGCCCGGAAGTCCTCTCAGGCCCCGGTCAGAGGAGTGCGGCCGGGACAGCCTCCACCCACTCCTGTGGCAGTTTTCAGGCCCCGGCCAGAGGAGCGCTGCCGGGACAGCCTCCACCCACTCCTGTGGCAGTTTGTGGCACGGTCCTTGTTACCCTTACAATCATAAACGATCCTTAAAACTAGCTGCTTTAATTTTTGCTAGGGATCTGGTATGTTTCCAGATCACCTAGAGTCAGATGCATTTGTTCAGTAACAGTTATTTATGAGCAAATTCCTATGCCAGATGTGCTGAGGACCTGCAAAGATAAAATTCAGCATCGTTTCTGTTTTCAAGAAGCATGTAGTTCGAGAGACAGACATGAAAACATGTAGAAAACATTCATTTCTATGATGGGAAGTACTGTGCATACAAAGGTTTGGGGAGACCAAAGCAAAACCAATTCATTCCAACCAGGAAGCTGTGGACCATCTCCCTGGTGAAGGAGGTGTTTGGACTGACCTCCCTGCCTCCTGTCATGCCCTCCTCCAATCTGTCCACACTGTTTTCAAAAGGGATCTTTTCAATATTGCAAATGTAGTCATGTCATTCCTTAGCTTAAAGTCCTTTACTAGCTCCTACTGCTTTGAGAGTAGTCCCGGTCCCTTAGTGGGCTTGATACTTCCTCCCCAAGGACAAGGCTCCGCCCATACACGTGCCCAGTGTTCTGGTCTTTGGGAGTTACCTTCAGGGACTCACCGGCATCTTTTTTCTTTTCCCCTCAGGGCATTTGCACACACTGCTCTTTCTGCCCGAACTTTCATCAGCTTCCCACCCACCTATGCCACTTTTCTTTTGTCCTGGCTGATACCCTTTTTTTCAGGATTCGACTGTGGTGTCGTCTCTTTCAGCAGACCTTCACCCGTGCATCTGGTCAGGGTGAGCCGTCTCTTCCCTGTGTTCCAACAAGTGCCACTGTTTATTTCTGGACAGTGGGTTTAACTTGCTGGTTCACTCCCCAAGAGTTTAATGACTGCCTAGCTGCCTGGGGTTGTATCAGTGTATCAGGTATAGGTTCAGTTTAAAGAATCCAAAATATGTTGGTTTAGACCAGGGGGCAGCAGACTGTGGCCCTGGGGCCACATCTGGCTGCCATCTGTACAGCCTACAAGCTAAGCATAGTTTTTATGTTTTTAAATGGTTGAAAAATATCAAAAGGAGGATAATATTTTGTGATGTGAAAGTTATATACAATTTACATGTCAGTGTCCGTGAAGTTTATTGGAACACAGTAAATGCTCATTCATTCACAGATTGCCTGTGGCTGCTTTCATCCTAGAACAGCAGTGCCGAGTAGGTGTGACAGAGGCCGTATGGCCCTTGAAGCCTAAATATTTACTATATAACCTTTCACAGAAAAAGCTGGCCAACAAATATTAGCTTAACTCATTATCACGTTAAAGTCCAGAAGTAGGTGGTCCAGGGCTGGTACGATACTCCACACTGTCGTGACCAGGCTCCTTTCTGTCCTGTTGTTCTGCTGCCTGTGGCCTCAATTCCCAGGTGTTTAGTGGCTGCTCCACCTCGGGCCGTCAGGATCGCATTCCAGTCAGCGGGAAGAGGGAAAGAGGAGAAGGGCATGTCCTGCCTTTTAAGGGTGCTTCTTGGAAATATCATGAACCATTTTGCCTTCAATCTCTTTGGCCAGAACTTAGTTATATGGCCTCAGCTAGCTGGAGAGGAGACTAGAAATGAAGACTTCTGTTCTTGGTGGCATGACCTAGTTAAAAATTGGGGATTCAACTACTTGCAGAAGAAGGGAAGAATGGAGAGTGGGGGATGGCTGCAGGCTCTGCCCATAGCCGGTTGCACGGCATACAGACAGCATTCTCCTAGCCTCTTGGGGCTGATGGACCAGTGAGTGGTTTCTTTCTCTCCATAGACTGTTCTTCACGGGCAGAGACTGGTCTTTATATCCTTGATGCTTAGCCAGTGCCTGGCACATATATATCATTCAGCAAATGTTAAAGTAATTAGTTAACTGAGTCTTGGAAAAAAAATAGATTTGTATGTAAGTCCATAGGATTTCTGTTAGAAAAATGTTGACCTCCAGACAGGAAATGGCCATGAGTAAGCACACTGGAGAAGCATAAAATAAGTGGTTGACTAGGGGCCTGAAAAGAAGCCCCGCTTCTTTGCCTAGTGCCTTGAAGGAAGTGGTGGAGAGGTAGGCTGGAAATTGCAGCCTCAGAAATGCAGTTCCTGCTTAGAGATAGGTTCTGAGTCCAGGTGACCTCTCTGTCCTACTTTACCATTATTTCCTTGTTGACATCGTTACAAGGAATGTGCAGTCCGGTACCTGTTGGCCTGTGGATCTGGTCCTCACCCTTGCCCTGCTCTGTGCTGTGTCACAGGAAAGCTGATCCCTCTGGGCTGTGTTTCTCAGGCTTCCATGCCTGCTGACTCTGGCTGGGCTCCACCAGTGCAAGCCACCAGAAGGAGTTTGGAGCGGGAGGATGGGAGAAGTCCCAGGGCACTCCCCGCCCCGGCTACATTCTCTTGGGCAATGCTCTGGCAGCAGCTGTGTGGCTCTAGTTTCCACTGCAGGCCCCCCTGAGGCTTTAGCTTCTGTGCACGCCTCTGGCCTCTGCGCTGCGGTAATAACCACCGCTGCTCTTTGTTCCTCCTGCCTGTCAGCAGTTACGGCTTCCTGCCGCTGCTAATCTCCAGGCTGTCATGTTATGCTGCCCAGCTCTCCATCAGCCATATAACTAACGCCCTGCTTCTTTCCACTGTAAATTCTCAGATTTGTTTGTTTCCCTGTTAGCCCTCTGAGGGATAAAATGACCAGTGTAAAAAGCTTGGCCCTTTCAGAGAAACTGTGGTTCCTGGAACAGCTGTTGGGGGGCAGGGCTGTGTGTGTGTGATAAGCGGTGATGGGCTAAGTAAGGATATACTGATTCTAGGCCCAGGTGGTTCTCATCTGTCCTGTAGCCACCAGCGGAGCACATCGCCTGTCTCATTTTCCTCGAAATGTATGGAAATGTTACTGCATGTTGCCTGCAGTTCTGCCACGGAGAGATTTTGTTGGCATAGTTAATAAGTACCGTCTTTTAAAAAGACACTTGAGGATTTGAGTTCTGTCCAGCCGTTTACCCTCGGTGTGCATTTTTCTTATCATAGTGCTTTTCTCTGTGCGGACAGCATGGCTTTGGAGTGTGGTACAGTGTTTTTAGCTGAGGCAGGGTAGATCCTACTTCCCCCTTGGGAAATTTTCACAGAGAAATGCTTAGTATATTTCTCAGAAAAAGCAGGCTCTAGTAATTTTTTTATGTATAAATGCATAGAAACAAATATGAAACTATTAATAGTGGTTATCTTTGGGTGATGGTATTTCAAGTAGATGTTTTCCTTTATACTTTGTTTCCAAAGTTTGTTATAGTGGAAATTACAAGATGTTTCATAATTGGGAGGGCAGTAAGCATTAAGGTAGTATGTGACTCCGAGATTGGGGGGTAGAAGGTTGGATTAAAATGCAGAAAAATAAAAAGAGGTAGGACTGTAGGAAAGAAAAGTGTTGTTTTTGTTTGTTTTATTAACTGAAATTTTGCTTTAGGTCAGCTCCATTCAATACAAAGGACATTTTTTTCTTCCTTCCTCTCTTCTTCGGACTCAACTCAGGCTAGTGATATTCAGGCTTCTTTAGCTGTATTGCTGGTTAAATAAGCTTTGTGGACTAGCCTGGGAACCTAACCTCTTTTTATAGTAAGTTTTTAAAGTAGTAAAGTCATCATAAGTTCCAGACAGTCAACTTAGAAGCTCATTCTTTGGGGGATGAGGGGACAATGTCTCTTTTGTTCACTTCTCTATACCTGCTGAGTTGTATAGGGTCTGGCACACATGAGGGCTCAATAAATATCTGTGGCACGAATGGACATCTTCTGCCCGACAGAGGTGTGCAGACACACACTTGCTTCATCCTGTGGCTGAGTGCCCTAAGCTGGCTCTAAAACTTGAAAGGTAGAAGCACTCAGAGCCCTCTCCTAGCCTCCATCATGAATACTCCAGCTGCAGAAGCACAACTGTCCAGCCTCAGAGAAGAAAGCAGAATCCTTGCCTGATGTAGCACTGAACTGAGACTCAGCAGTGGTCTAGTCTGGGAGTGGAAGCTAACTACTGTAATGTTTTTTCCACTAGTCAGGACACGACTGCACTTAGAATTTACTACCCTTTCTTTCCTCCCTCAAAAATGTTAAATACCTAACTTCTTCTCTGCGTATACTTGTGCTGAAGTCCATTTCTCCTTTTATTCATTCATTCAGTACCTATTTGATGACAGTTTCTCATGGGCCAGGCATCAGTGGCTCTTGGATATGCAGTGGTAAGCAGAAGAGGCATGGTTCCCATCTCAGAGTGCTTCCAGTTAGTGAAATAAATGAAAATGGAATTTCCACCACTCATTGACATGAACAGTTGGCCGAGGAGAATGGGCTGCTTTCAGGCTAGATCTTGGAGTTGCTCTACTGAGCAAAGGCCTCTTCTTTTCCCAGTGATTTGTTTTATCATCTTGACATCTTGATACGTGTCTCCCTCCGACTGCAAAAAGAAAAAAAAAGAAAGGAAGAAATTGTCTCATTTGGATGTGCGGACAGAGTTTTTATATCTGCTCTTTTCCTGACAGGTAAACTTTAATGAGCCCTTATCCATGCTTCAGCGCCTTACTGAAGATCTGGAATACCACGAGCTGTTAGACCGAGCTGCAAAGTGTGAGAACTCTCTAGAACAGCTCTGTTATGTTGCAGCTTTCACCGTGTCCTCCTACTCCACTACTGTCTTCCGTACCAGCAAGCCGTTCAACCCACTCCTTGGGGAGACCTTTGAGCTAGACCGATTAGAGGAGAATGGGTACCGATCCCTCTGTGAGCAGGTAAAGGAGCTTCAGGACTGTGACACGTCTCCTTTTTGAAGAAAGGGATGATTTCCTTGGTTGATACCCCTGGGTGTTAACGTTTGCAGAAATTCCAGACCCCGTCATCCCAAACTGCCTTCTTTTCCTTCAGGACTTCAACACTGGAGGCCCTGGTATTCATCTACTGCTATGGGTGTAAAAATGTCAAGTGTGAATTTGGGGTGTTTATCGCCAGTTAATAGGCAGTATCTTTTTCTTCTCCTTTCTTCCTTTTAATTTGAACCACTGATTTCTTCAAGGTGAGTCATCATCCCCCTGCGGCTGCACACCACGCTGAGTCCAAAAATGGCTGGACGTTGCGTCAGGAAATCAAAATCACCAGCAAGTTCCGAGGCAAATACCTCTCCATTATGCCGCTTGGTAAGGCCACCATCTTTGTAAGCATTTGTGCTCCAGGAAGGAAAGCTTTTCTGGCAGGATGGAGGCGGTTACTGGTTCAGTAGTCAGGAACCTGGAGGTCTGATTCAGGCACTGAACCTTACGAGCTAGCTTTGTGCAGGTCATTTAACTCCTCAGCTGCTGGGTGGGTGGGGTGTGTGTGAGACTCTTTAAGGACCCATCCGGTCATAAGTTCTTTGTCTTCTTAGCTATATTTAATGCATCTTTAAGTACTATTTTAGAATACACATTTTAGCATGCATTTAAAAAATTCTTTTAGTTGGTGTTGTTTACCCCATTACCCTAGCAATCAGCTTCTCTCTATAGATCAGAACTCCTGTGACTGCAAAAGGTTAGGGTTCCTGGGTAGCCCCCCCTCCTCCTCTCCTTTCTCCCCTCACTGTTCCTCCACCGGAGGGGTTAGGTGTCATTTATGTGATAGCTGAACTCCAGGTAAAATGAAACTTTATTTTAAAAGATCTTATTGGATTACAAGTTAATTTTGCACCAAGATCAGAAAGGTCAGGCCTGGGAATACGAATCCTAGTATGCAGTGTTTGTGTGTCTGTACTTTAGGGGAAATGAGATTATTCAGAAAGGGTAGTAGATTCTTGATGCTCTTTTGAACTAGAGCCAGCCACATTTGGCCACGTGTGTACTGAAGAGTGAACGTTGGTCTGCAGAAAAAGAAACACAAAGCAGGTAGAGAGAAAGCAAGTGGATCCCTAGAGACAGCGCTGGTAGCAACTGCCTGAGCTCTCGATGGCTTTCCATTTCCTGGCTCTAGTCTTTCATGTGGCAGAGCTGCAGTGCTGGGTTATTGCAGTACAGTCTTCTGCTTTAATAAATCCCCCTTTCTCTCAGAAACAATGTAGCAGGTACAGTGCAAACTAGAAATTAGCCAGAAAAAAATCCAGGGATGTTCGTAACATATTAAAAGACAAGAAACTGAAATGTTAACTCTGTTGCCTCATGGTTAATATGCAAGAGGCCCTTAGATGAAAAGGGGACTAAGTGATTTTGGTCTTGATCTTTACTGAGAACCTTTGAACAGGTTCTAATTGCTTAACTGTCTTTGAAGCTGATAGCTTCCGAAGTGTGTTAGGTTAAGAGTAGTAAACACCTGAGATGTTCACACCTAATCTGCAGAACTAGGGTGTCAGTAGTCGTATTGCAGTATAACTTTCATCCATGCAGAAGGGTTTCAGAGGCCCCCTGAGGATTGCTAAAGGGATGGGTTATATGTATTTAATTCTAAGGAAGTTTATATACATTTTAAAAACGGCAGTAAACCTAAATTACCAGCGATGTGCTGTGCATTTTCTCTGTAATTTGACTAATCTAGAATTCTTTGAGGGGTAAATAACTATAGGAACATGATATAAGTGGTAGATCTAATTTTTTAGAGTTAAAAAAATCTTTGGTAGGATTTCATTCCTTTGGTTGTTTAAGGATTCATCAGGATGTATTATCTTAAGTCACCCCATCTATTAGATACTGAGTATACCTACCACGTACTAGGTATGGTTCTAAGGTGCTCGGGAAATGCAAGTGAACAAAACAAAGATCCCAGCCTTTGTAGGGAGATTGAACGAGAATTGACATAGTGGGACTTCCCAGGTTGTGCAGTGGTTAAGAAATCCACCTGCTAATGCAGGGGACATGGGTTCGATCCATTTTCAGTGGTGTTCAACTCTCAGAGGGTAAATTATTAGGCCAAGAGATGCCATTGAAGAAAGACAGATGGACGGGGTGTGAGTGAGTAGGCAGGTGGATGGGTTTTTGAGGTGGTGGAAGGTAGTCTGAGTCTTCCAGTAAAATTGACTGAAAAGGTTAGAATTCTTGCAGTCTGGAAAATGAATGCTTCTAGGAAATATGATTGAAGTTTGCAAAATTATGAAGACTGCGGTAGAGGGTAAATATGAGTTTGCTCATCCACTCATTTTGGAATTGGGTGGTAGCTTCAAGTTTAAAGAGATACCTTTACGTAGAGGATTATTTTATAGTTTGGAGTTCTCTAACCCAAGAAGAATCACAATTTGATATTATGAATGAAACAACCACTCAGCCTGTTGATCTCTGTGTCAATGACACTGCTGGGCTCCATGCACCTTGAATCTGCCCCAGCAGCACTTTAGTCAGAAAGTCCTCCTTATATATTTTATCCATTTTTCCAATTTCTGCTTTTTGATTGGAGTGATTAATCCATTTATATTTATTATAATTACTGATTAGTTAGGATTCACATCTGCCATTTTGGTATTTTGTTTCTGTACATCTTATGTCCTTTTTGTTCCTCCTCTACTCTGCCGTTCGTTCCTTCTTTTGTGTTAAATAGATATTTTTCTAGTTTACCATTTTAATTTCCTTGTTATTTCTTTTACTATATTTTTTAAAGGTATTTTTATGGTTATCCTGGGTATTAAAATTAACACCGTCTAATGATCTAGTTCAGATTAATACCAGCTGAATTTCAGCAGGATATAAAGACTTTGCACTTAATGGATCTATTACCTTTTCCCTCCTTTGTGCTTTTATTTTCATGCAAACTATTTTTCTACGTTATAATTCCATCAACATTGTTTTATAAGTGTTGCTTCATGTAGTTGTCTTTTACATCATATAGGAGAAAAAAGTTATACGCAAAAACCAGATGTATGCTGGTGTCTTTTATGTAGTTTAATTGCTGTTACCTTTACTGGTCTCTTAATTTCTTAAGGTAGATTTAAGTTACTGCCTAGTATCCTTTCATTTCAGCCTGAAGGACTTCCTTTAGCATTTCTTGAAGAGCAGATCTGCTAGCCAGGAATTCTTTCAGTTTTTGTTTTTCTGGGAATGTCTTAGTTCTCCTTGTTTACGAAGGATAATTTTGCTGGACATAGAACTCTGGGTTTGATGGTCTTTTTCTTTCGGCATTTTGAACGCGTCATCCGACTGCCTTCTGGCCTTCGTGGTTTCTGAGGATCACTTGTGTGTGACGCATCACTTCTCTCTTCCTGCTTTCCGGATCCTCTGTTTGTCTGTGTCTTTCTAGTCTGATTACGGTCCGTTGGTTTCAGTGTGGTGCTCTTTGAGTTGATCCACTTGGCATTCACTGGACTTATCGGAAGTGGAGATTAGTGCTTTTCGTCAAATCTGGGGAATTTGGGGCCATTATTTCTTCAAGTGCTCCAACTGTTATCACCACCTGTGGCAGCTGTTGTGTTAAATAATTGCCACGGATTGTTTTGATAATTGCCCCAGGAAGAAGGCTGAGGTGAGCAGTGCGGAATCAGATCAAATAAAGATAAGCCCAGTGAGTGGGAGTTTACTGGGAGCCACCAGATAGGTCAGAGAATGACAGTACATTGGAGCTGGGCTTTGGGAGCTTCATGTTCTGCTCCCTCCAGTGTTTGCTGGACTGCTTGCTGGTTTTCACGGCTACCATGACTGTGAGGCTACCAGTTTTCAAGGCTACTGCTGAGCTGGGGAGAGAAGGGTAGGAATGGGGCAAGTTAAATGAGCTCATTTTGCTTACTGAGAGCCAGCCATTTTTCTTGAGTAAATGTTTCTTGGAGTATTGTAAGCCTTTGGTTAATTTCCAGAGTTATGAAAAAGTTGATTCTGATCACTTTTGTTAGTGTGTTCTTGTTGATTTTACTGGGGAGCTGATACATGGAAGTTCTTACTCGACCATTCTGCAAGTGGCTGTCTTCCCCTTTATACATTTTAAATGGCTCAGGTTTGGGATCTTTAACTTATTGTCAAGTTTTCAACACACAAATAATATATAAACGAAGGTAGTCACAGGGTGTTCTTTATTTTTCCACCATCCCAGTGAACTGGAAGGGACACTGCAGAACAACAGGTACATCATCAGGGTGGGATATAGGGTTATGGTATTGGACTGTACACATGTTCTGCTCTTATTTTGAACTTCAGCTCTAGCTGTCACTAGCTCTGTGACCTTGGGAAAATTATTTGACCTCTCTAAGCTCAGAGTCTTCATTTGGTAAAATGAGGTTGTGGTAGGTTGAATAATGCCCCCCTGCCCCCAAATATATCCACATCCTAATCTCTGGAACCTATGAATTTATCACTTTACACAGTGAAAGGAACTTTGGACATGTGGTTAAGGATCTGGAGATGGGGAGATAATCCTGGATTATTCTGTGAGCCTAATGTAATCAACAAGGGTATTTATAAGAGGGAGGCCGGAGGTTCAGAGTCAGTGACAACAGAAGCAAGAGGTTTGAGTGATGCTAGGAGGGGTCCACAAACCAAAGAATGCAGGTGGCTTGTAGTAACTGGAAAAAGCAAGAAAATGGATTTTCCCCTTGAGCCTTCAGAAGGAACACACACCTGCTGACACCTTGATTTTAGACTTCTGACTTCTAGAACTGTAAGAGAATAAGTTGTGTTATTTTAAAAAATTTATTTATTATTTGTTTTGGGCTGCATTGGGTCCTCATTGCTGCGTGCAGGCTTTCTGTAGTTGTGGCGAGCGGGGGCTGCTCGTCATTGCAGTGCGAGGGCTTCTCATTGCGGTGGCATCTCTTGCTGGGGAGCACGGGCTCTAGGCACACAGGGCTCAGTACTTGTGGCACGCGGGCTCAGTAGTTGTGGCTCACGGGCTCTAGAGCACAGGCTCAGTAGTTGTGGCGCACGGCCTTAGTTGCTCCACGGCGTGTGGGATCTTCCTGGACCAGGGCTCGAACCCGTGTCCCCTGCATTGGCAGGCGGATTCTTAACCACTGCGCCACCAGGGAAGTCCCAAGTTGTGTTATTTTAAGCCACAAAGTTTGTCATAGCTGGTTTCAGCAGCAGTAGGATACAAATGTAGCCTGCAGCTAAGGTATCAACAAATATATGAGTGCCCACTATATGCTGGTAACTATTTCTAGTTGGGTACATAATGGTGAACGAAAGCTCCTTTGCCCTCATTTAGCTTGCATTCTTAAGTAGACACAAAAGTAAATAAAACAAGTACTTTGATTTTATATAGTGGTGGTTCAGTGAAGAAAATAGAGTAAGCAGAGATGGGGTTAATGATGGAGGAAGGAGAGTGTTGTGTGTTCCCTTGTAGCAGAGTCAGGAACTTCTCTGAAAAGGTTACATTTGAGCAGAGACCTGAGAACAAAAAGAAACAAAACCAAAAGATGACTGGCAGAGAGAACCCCAAAGATAAGGGCCCTGGGGATGGAGCAAGCATAGCACGCATGAGAAACAGCAAGGCCACAGCAGCTGGTTCAGAGTGAGGAGGGGGACGTGGTGGATGAGACCAGAGGGTAGGCGGGAGCCTGCTCTTGTAGCGTCTTGTACACCGTGAAAGGAGTTGAGTTCTATTCTAACTACAGTGGGGAGTAATGGAGAGATCTTATGGTGTGGAAAGTTGATATGACATGTTTTAAACAGATCATTTTGACTAGAGACTTGAAGGGGGGCCAGAGTGGAAGCCGGGAGGCCGAAAAGAGGTTCGGGCAAGAGCTGCTGGTGGCTTAGACCGTAGTGGTGAAGAACAAGCGATTAGGCCATAGTTAGGCAGAGCAAATGTTTTTGAAGATGGCTGTGAAGAGTAAATGAGTGAGGAGAGCCTAGCCTAGCCTGTCTGGTACACAGCAGGTGTTCTCAGCAGAGTTGCCATTGCTACTGTCAGTGTCGTTGTCACCAGTGTTATCCTCATCAGCATGACTGCTGCTGCAGCCACCAGGGCTACTTTAACCTTTTTGTACAAGAAGGACACGCCTCAGCCACGTTTCGTGTTCATTTCATCAGTGGTTACAGAGGGAGCTTAGAGTTATACCGTTACTGGAATTAACTGTATTATTTAATGTGTATATCTTCTGAAATTTTTGGATTATTTTGAATCTCCACTCACCTCTGTTGAAGCCACTGATTTTGGCTTGGTGTTCATTTGAGATTATAGGAACAGGAGAAGACCTTACGTACTGAGTGCTATAAAGGGTACAAATCAGGACCAGCCCCATGGAGAGACACATAGCAGAGGGTGTGGGAGGATCCTGGACATGAGTTTCCATGCCCTCTCCCCATGAAATCAGGGCCCAGCACCTTCCTGGCACATTGATGTGTTTAACATCCTAGAAGCTCCACCAGGCTTCCTTGTCCAGAGATTTTATTGGGGTTTCATCGTGTGGGCACAGTTGATCAAATCCTTGGCCACGTGACTGAACTCAATATCCCGGCCTCCTTCCCTCCCTGGAAGGAAGGAAATATCATTCCCAGGAGGTCAGGAGGCCAGATCTAGCCCGTATCAGGTGACCCGCAGCCGCTGCTCTCTAATGACATGGTTGGTCTTTCTGGCCCACCCTCGTCCTAAGTCATCTTGTTGGCATAAGCTATCTAGGGGCCCACCTGAGGCACCTCATTGGCATATATCACCAGGGCCCTCATGAGTAACAAAGACACTACTGTCACTTGGGAAATTGCAAGGGTTTAGAGGTTGGACAAAGACCAGACAAATTCTTTATTATGCAACACGTGCTCACACATCAAATGAGTGTTGGAGCCGGTGCCCCTGCTCTATCCACTACTCCCCCCCGCTTTTTTTTTTTTTTCCACTATTAAGGCCCATAGGTAGACAAGTGGTTTGCTTAAAGTCACACAGCTAGTTACTCACAACAGGGCTTGTCCCCAGTACTGACCACCAGTGTGTGCTCTTTTCCATATGCTGCTTTATTTTTTCATGTTGGGGCAGATGTGACCTGTTCCTGTAAATTTTGCAGCTAGTATGGCAGGTACAGTTAGTGAAAAGATTGGGGTTTTTGCTTTCATTTTTATTTCTACATTTGCAGAATATTACTTCCCAGCTAAGCTGTATCAGCTGTCAATGTTTGTCCTCATTAGTTATATTTTATTCATAAATTTTAAAATCACGTGAAAAATTCAGTCAGTGCTTCCAACATTTATAAAGGTTATAAGTCCTTTTTGACTTATTGTTTTCTTTTTAAAAGTAAGAAATATTGATAAAATCAATCAATCCATCATTATTTCTAGCCAGCATGGTGCTGTTTTTCTAATATTTGGCTTAATTTGTGTGCCACTCTCTGCTTCTAGGTAGCATCCACTGTATCTTCCACGCAACTGGGCACCACTACACTTGGAAGAAAGTTACCACGACAGTGCACAACATTATCGTGGGCAAACTGTGGATCGATCAGGTGAGTAAAGGGACTCAGCATGCTTCTGAGGTTCAGAAGAATACGTCCATCTTTGTAGTATTTAGGACGTGTGAACTGGCCCCAGACTGCTGTTACTGGTTTATCAGTTTTGCCTAAGGAATTTCTCTCAGGCAGTAATCCCACCCCCAAACTCCCCGAGTTTCTATACCACAAACTATTACCTACAAATGACCAAGTTACAACATTCATTCAGTGACTACTCTACTAGGGCTGTGTTAGGTACTATGAAGAATACAAGAAAATAATAAACATGGCTCCCATCCTTCATCCTTTTATTATTCATCAAACATTTGTTGCCAAGCTGAGTGCTAGGTCTTGGGAATACAAAGTCATATGAGGCATTGTCCTGCCAAGAGTTACTTTATCATTGGAGATACATGACAGATATGTGTAGGATGAAAAGTATTTGCCAAAATAGACTAGTGTAAGAGCTGTACTAAAATACTATCTAGGGGCTTCCCTGGTGGCACAGTGCTTAAGAATCCACCTGCTGATGCAGGGGACACGGGTTCGAGCCCTGGTCCAGGAAGATCCCACATGCCGCGGATTAGCTAAGCCTGTGCGCCATAACTACTGAGCCTAGAGCCCTCGAGCCACAACTACTGAGCCTGTGTGCCACAATTACCGAAGCCCGCATGCCTAGAGCCCGTGCTCTGCAGCAAGAGATGCCACTGCAATGAGAAGCCCACTCACCACAACGAAGAGTAGCCCCTGCTCGCCAGAACTTGAGAAAGCCCGCACTTAGCAATGAAGACCCAACGTAGCCATAAATAAACAAACAAACAAACTGTCAAACTATCTAATTCATTGTCAGTTTGCTCTTAAGACAGTGGTTGCAGTAAATTCAGAAAAGAGAGGGAATTCTGTCTGAGCAGTCAGGAAAGGCTTCACGGTAGATGTGGGAATGAAGCTGAGTCTTAAAGAGCTTTTTGGGATTTGCAAGATAGAAAGGAGGAGAAAATGCAATGAATGAAGTGTAGAAAGGCCCACCATATGTAGGGTTGAAACCGTGAGTAGAATACTTTAAGCACAGAGTTCATGAAGGGTACGAGTGGAGGATTGGTTTGGGAAGGTAAATTAATATGTGAATATCATCAATGTGTGTGCTGAAGTTCGAATTATGCCACTGAACATGTGACACAGTTTTTTAAAAAAAGGTCATTTGACCTTGATTCCAACCTGGCATACCAAGATTACAAAGGGATTCCACAGCATCTCAAGGTTGGCTAAGACCTGAATCTTAAGTACAGGAAAGCTAGAATGTAAGATTGAAAAGAATTATGATGAATGCGGCTTAGCATATATTCAAGTCATCCATTCTTAATAAAACCAATCCATGATTCTTTTCTTTTTATAGTCTGGTGAAATTGATATTGTGAATCACAAGACAGGAGACAAGTGCAATCTTAAATTTGTTCCTTATAGCTACTTCTCTCGGGATGTAGCAAGAAAGGTAAGAGAAGTTGAAATTACAATGTTTTTCACTTAGTGTGTATCCCATAGAAAGTCTGTTCCTTTGGAGCTGGTGTAGGTGGATGGATTGTATGTGTTCCAAAAAAAGGAGAGATAAAGGAGAAAGTCAGCAAAAGACAACAAGTTAGAGAATAAAAGTCAAGAGCAGGGGGCTTCCCTGGTGGCGCAGTGGTTGGGAGTCCGCCTGCCGATGGAGGGGACACGGGTTCGTGCCCCGGTATGGGAAGATCCCACATGCCGCGGTGTGGCTGGGCCCGTGAGCCATGGCTGCTGAGCCTGCGCTCCGCAGCGGGAGAGGCCGCAACAGTGAGAGGCCCGCGTACCGCAAAAAAAAAAAAAAAAAGTCAAGAGCAATGAGGGATCGGCATTTCCTGGTGGTCCAGTGGTTAGGGTGCTTTCACTGCCGTGGGCCCCGGTTCGATCCCTGGTCGGGGAACTAAGATTCTGCAAGCTGTGCAGGCGTGGCCAGAAAACAAAAGAGCAATGAGATTTGAAAATGGGCAACACCGAGGAAGGACGAAGGAAAGGGTTACCGGAAGGAGGCATGGGTACCTTGAAGTCTGAGTGAGAGTTCTGGTACCACCGCAGTGGAATTGTGCCGGGAGTTTTGATGGGAGAGTGAAGAAATCTGTTTGTGGCTCTCTCTGCTTTCTGGAGAGAAGAATATAACATAATTCTGAGTACAGTCAAATCCTTCTCCTACATATATCATTACAACAAAAATCTGTACAACAAAATGGTAATGAATCCTCCAACTCATGACTCAGTTATTTTAAGCAGCTCAAGAAAACATAACAAAATAATTTGAATGATTCCACGGAGTTTGTCATAACAGGATTTAACCAGTATTTACCCTAGGACTTCGGTGTCCAGAGTAGTCAGGGAAGCTGACACAGCGAATGCCGTACTCCAGAGCCCTGCTCTCCCTCTGTAGGTGACAGGGGAAGTGACAGACCCATCAGGAAAAGTTCACTTTGCCCTTCTGGGGACGTGGGATGAGAAAATGGAGTGTTTCAAAGTACAGCCAGTCATCGGGGAAAACGGGGGTGACGCTCGGCAGCGAGGCCACGAAGCAGAGGAAAGCAGGGTCATGCTGTGGAAGCGGAATCCTTTACCGTGAGTATCAGTGTGGGTCCCGCCCGGGTCCTGCTGTGACCTCAGCCTTGGAGCGGTGTTGCGGCATTTCTGCCTTCCTTCCCACTTAATTCTGTGAGGGACTGAGCGCGGGACATCGGAACCTGGAGATATGACCAGAAGGTGGTCCCCGTGTGGTTGGGTTGTAGCGTGCCTTGTCCCAGGAAAGTTCAAACCACTCAAACCACGTCTGCCAGAAACATTTGGTGTTTCCTAAAGGTCCTTTGGATTGTGATTCCGAAGGATGTTTTTCTATAATTTAGAGTAGAACTATTCAGAAGTGGCTAGAGGAGAAAGATGCCCACCACCTGTGGCCCAAAGGCCTAGCAGCAGTATAAAGGTCCCTGAGATAATGTGCAGGACTTTGGAAAGAAATTAAGGTGGAGGCCATTTGTCTCCTGTCATTATTTAATATGTTCAGTCCTCAGTAATAGCCAAGGTTATCCCAGAAAGAGGTTAAAAAGAAAGCGAAGGAAACAGGAAGAAAGAAGTTTTATTTAGTAGAATGTTTCATCCTTCCTAATTTCACCTGAGCATAGCACAGGCCCAGAAAACTATCCAGTTGAGTGATCCTGGGGAGGGGATGGGGAATGGTCCAGTCGGGTCTCTTAATTAGGTGAACCTGATGTGGTTGGTCCTGGAGTCTTTCCATCTGTAGCACAGCCAGGGTGATGTAGCCCTTGTAGTGAACTTAGTTGGTGCTCTTTAACTAACAAGGGTCTCAGCTCTGGCATTACCCTTCCTCTTTCTCACCCTTTACTTTTAGGAAGAATGCAGAAAACATGTACTACTTCTCAGAGCTGGCTCTAACTCTCAATGCCTGGGAAGCTGGCACTGCCCCCACAGACAGCCGATTACGGCCCGACCAGAGACTGATGGAGAATGGGCGCTGGGATGAAGCAAATGCAGAGAAGCAGCGCCTGGAGGAAAAACAGAGACTTTCCAGAAAGAAGAGAGAAGCCGAAGCTATGAAAGCCACGGAGGACGGTAGTGGATGCCTTCTACTCTGTTTCCCAGTCCCGAAGCGTGGCAAATGCCCATGTGTTTTCGGCTCTGATTCTGTTTTTCTTCACCCTCTTTCCCTTTTAGGCACGCCCTACGATCCCTACAAGGCACTGTGGTTCGAGCGGAAGAAGGACCCTGTTACCAAGGAGTTAACCCATATTTATAGGGGAGGATACTGGGAGTGTAAAGAGAAACAGGACTGGAGCTCGTGCCCGGACATTTTCTGAACCGGCCGTGACAAAAGGAGGAGGATCCAAAGGAGAAGAGGACAGAGGATGCGCGGGAAAGCTGGCAGTTGTGACTCTCTTACGGAGAGCTTTCCTCAAGTTTGTCTGTCTTAACCAATCATTTTTTCCAAATCAATCACCAGAAGCAGACACCGTTGGCGGTGATTGGCTGGTTGCCTTAGCTGATTGAAACTGAAGTCGACATTCTGGATACTGTATGTGTGAGGGAGGCGTCCTGGCCGAGTGTTAGTGTTGTCCCGCTTCTGCAGAGTCACGTGCTCTTGACCCTTTCCTCTCCCTCTGCCCCAGTTTGAGATGCTGTCCCTCACCCTCCCCTCACAGAGCCTGCCCAGCCAGGACCTGCGGAAGAGGATGACGCGGGGGGGCGTCCGGTGCAGTTCAGAGCGAGAGCTGATTTTAGAGGTTCCCTTTAAAAAGAAACACCACGTAAGACTTACCAACAGAGGCATCGTGAATGCTCGTGGTGGAGCTTGGGCGTGACGTTATGAAGTGTTCACAGATGGGGTCAATTGAACGGGGTGTCGGTGCGGAGAAAACCGTGGCACTGGAACACTTGCGAGAGGGACTGTTTTGCAAGGCCGGGACGTTCAGAGTTAAATTCTTGGAAGTTTCGATCTTCACTCGCGTAAAACACCCTGCTGCTGTTCTCCATCTTCTTTGACAGCACCCGGGGCCACTTGGGTGGTCGGTAGGAGGCTTGCGTTATCCTCACAAAGGGGTTTTACGGACTTGCTCAGGCGGAGAACTTCTGAGAACACGAGGCAGGATGGAAGAACACTGCTGGCCACTCTTGCTTTCCCCGCTCCTCCTCTCCCCCATCCTTCATTGCCTTTCCTCTCTTCTCCCTCCGCGCAGTACTGCTTCGGGTTTGTGCCCTGTGGAGCAAAGCGTTACCTGTCCCATTCTGATATACTTCAGAATCTGAGAGAAGGAGTTTATCTGGAATAAGTTTTCACCATCTCTCAAGCCCCATGGACTGGAGCCACCTCTGGAATAATGCGTTAAGTATCTGTATAGTATATATATGTAGAGAAAAATCTAATTCTTTTTTGGTTTGATTTTCCTTCTTCCCATTAAGAATCTTGATTTTTGATATCACTTGTCTCCCTGGGACTCTCTCTTGGACACACTGATGTGGATTGGAGCCCCCTCTGCTTTCCCTCTTTCAGGGGCAGACAGATTCCAAACCTGATCAGGATCCCACCCAGCGGTTCCTGAGCAGGGACCTTGTCCATGGTTTGTATCATGAGGTGCCCACTGCTGTCTAAACTCTGCTCTTCTAATTACCTGACTCTTGAAAATGAAATCCTAACCTCTTTCCTACCTTTTTTCCTTCTCTTACTAGGAAGAGTGTGGGTAGAAAGTCAGGAGGGTAATTTCCGGTTTGAGCCTGCCTCTGTCCAGATCTCAGCACACAGAGCTGATCCCCAAAAGAGCCTTCTTCCTAGGAGTCAGGGCGCCGTCGCGTGGGGTGGGGAAGAGAACTGCTCCTGCTGGGCCCTGGTTTCTTTCATTTTTTCCTTCTGTACTTGTTTAAGTTGTCTTGTTCAGAAATCTGACCCCGCCGTGCCACCCGCCCCTGGCTGAGGATCACAAATGAGGTGCCTTCTGTGTACGCTTCTCGTTAGTGCTTTTCGTTTCTGTTCCGTAACTGCCGAGCCTCAGCCAGCGTGGGTCCTGGGGGGAGAATCATTCCAGAGGAAGCCGTCCCGGCAGGGAAATTGGATCTGTACTGGGTAAATAGCATCTTACTCCTTCCCCGCCATCCCTTCCTTCCTAGCTGTGATGAACTTGAGACAGGGACACCTCCTGGGGAAGTTCCTCCTGCGAACTCAGCTCGATCCCAGCGATCCCAGCGTAAGCAAGGGATTATTCCAGGGCTGCTTCTTTGAAGGAGGCCCATAAAAGCGTTGATGTAACTGGGGTGGGGACGGAGCTTTAGACAGCGGGAACTCCCCAAACAGACGGAACTTCCCTGCTCTGTCTCCCGCTCCCGCTCCCCATTGTCTGCACTACGTTTCCAGCCTGATCCCCAGTGAGGTTCCTGCTAATGGAAGAGGCTTCGAGTCCTTCAGGTGAAATAAAGTCACATGAAAACAAAACAAAACTATATATATTTTCGGTTTTTTTGCCTTATTGTTTTTTTTCCAAGAAAACTACTAAATTAAATAATTTTTAAAAAGTCATATTGTTTGTCTGATTCACTTCTACTTAAGGAGGAGGCAGTGGGAAGAGGCGGAGAAGTGGCCCCTGGGTGATTTTTTCTTGGCAGTCTGGGAACTTGATCCTCATGGGAGATGGAAAGAAAAACTGGGCGCGGATTTCCAGATGCTTCGACTATTCAACAACATTCCAGAGGACCTAATGACCACATGAGTAGTTTTAAGAGCCCCCGATGCTTTAGTGCCATGTCACTGTCAGGGTCCCACCTTGCCACAGGGGAACGGTTTCTAGTGTTTTTGGTACTGGGCCTGTTTCACCTCAAAAAATAAAAGTTCTTGAATTTCATCTCTCTTGCCCATTTAGATTTTCAGGATCTTAGCTGTTCCGTGTAAGGATTCAAATTCTGTATTTTGAAACATAAGCAATTGAGTATTGATTTGAAGACCTTGGAGAGAAGTAAAGGACAGTGAAAATGCTTGTTCAGTTTTTCTCTGCACAGTTTAGGGAGGGGAGAAGGTGGCCAAAGTGATCGAAGGGGAATGGAGAGGCCTCCGATGAGGGTGAGCGCCAATTCCTGCCCGGAGAGGGGGCCCGCACATCACTGAGCATCTGCTTCTGCGTCCAGAGTGCTGAGACTGGAGCTCTCAGCATTGCCAGGCTTCCGCTTAAACAGTCTCAAGAAGTATATTTTACAATTGTCACGTTGAATATGAGGAAAGGCGCTCAAAAAATAAACTAAATAAATTTCCTCAAGGTCACATAGCTGATTGGTTAGTCACAGTACTGGAATTCAGAGCTGGGTTGGTTTAACCCCAGAGTTTGTGACCTTTACAAACTTGTGCTCTGTGAGAAACTGGGTTGGAAGGCGGCTGGTAGTTAAGTCATTTCCTCCTGGATTATACATCGTGCAGAAATGCGTTTCTCTGTTTCCAGAAGCTTCTTAATGTCCATAATATTATTTTGGGAGTCCCACGTGAAGGAAGGCGCATTGGAGCATTTTTTTTTTTGGCCATGCCATGTGGCATGCAGGATCTTAGTTCCCCGACAAGGGATTGAACCCACGCCCCCTGCGTTGGAAGTATGAAGTCTTAACCACTGGACCGCCAGGGATGTCCCGGAAGGAGCATTCCTGAAGTTCAGCCTCCTGCCTCCTTGGTTTCTCAAGGCTCTCATGCCCACAAAATCAGCTATGTTGTCAGGGGTCGTCTTTTCTAGCCTGGTTCCTGGGAAGGCCACTTAGCCTTGATGTTAAGTATCGGCAACGTTTTTTTTTTCTGGCAAGCTAAAAACCACGGTAGTCGACCCTTGACGCTTGTGAGAGCTGCATCCTGCAATTTTGAATACCGTATGGTATGTGATTTCCTCCAATAGGGTCAGTCCAATGTACCTGAAACTTTTGAATAATCCCTCCTTTAGTCCTTAATGGGCTCCTGTGACATGATGGGTTGGGATGTGGATCGCGAGGAGTGTAGCTTACTCATGATTCAAAATTACACCCGTCAGGGACCTCTGAAGTCCCACAAAAATGTTAAACCTATACATTTCAAAGGTCTGCAAGATAAGTGAAAATCAACCTATAGTATAGTCCTAAGAGGAAGTGTAGAAAAGTCTAGAATTTATTCACTATAAGGTATATACCTTGTGAAACCCTAAGACTATCAAAATTTAGAGCTTCTAAAAGTTTATAAAGCTTTTGCCCAGTACTGTGCCCTGCCCTGTGGGAAGCATCCCTCAAGCCTTCCCTGGCTTTCCCTTCTGAAGCTCATAAAATAATCTGTGGTTAGGTTCTCCTCAGTCTTTCCTCCCTACTGTCTTTTCAGGTAGAGCGCTCCTTTTGGGGTTCACAGTGATCCCCCAGGGGAAGGAAGCAAGCTGGTCAGATGAGGCATCTTTAAAGGCAAGAACTAAGGAGCTCAGAATCTTCTGTAAGTAGCCTTGCAGAGGTCACACTTGAGTTTGACCAGGTGATTTAAGAAGTTAGTAAAGAACCAGTTGGCCCTGAGAGAGGTATGGCTAGGATTGTCTCCATTCGTTCATTCATTAAACATTGACTTCCAGCTTGTTACATAACATAACATTAGAGATACAAATGGCAAGAAAGAGCTCAGGTAAACGGGCAATTACAATCTAGTTTGATAAATGGCATGAAAGCACTGCAGAGGGGCAACAAGCCTATAGAGAGTGGGGAGGGAGGGGATAAAGACATGTCAGGGAAGCCTTCTATTCAATACAACTAGGAGAAAGTATCTGAGTTGAGAGTTGCAGGTTTGATAGGGGTTAGGGAAAGGGCACCCTGTAAGATGCTGCATGGATAAAGATGGAGAGCAAAGTCGAGGAAAGCATCCTGCTTTTGGATGGCTGTATGAATGGCTGGAGTTTAAGGTCAAGGAGAGGACACCGATACAGTGATGGAGAGACGTAAGGCCCAAGTCATGGAAGTCTTCATATACCACATAAAGAAACCTTGGTTTTCGTTTTCAGCAAGGGAGCCAGTGAAAGATTTGTAAGCAGGGTGATAAGTTCCAGTGTGGAAAATGATTGACAGGTAGTCAGATCAATTAAGAGATTGGAGAAGTTGTGAGAATGAAGAGAAGTGCAGGGATTCCAGTATTGACTGGAATGAACAGCACTTGAGTATGATTATTGGTGGAGAGCAGAGGGAGGGAGGAAGGGAGAAACTTGTATTTTTCTTGCTCAGGAAACTTAGAAGGAAGGTGGTAGCAAGCTAAACAAGTCTAGAGGGAAAGATGGGTTCATTTTGGGGCATTCTGAGTTGGAGGAGCCTGTGGAGAGGTTGAGTAAGCGACTTAAAACATGGGTCCAAATGTAATGGCTACATTTTTGTGAGAACTGAGAAATGAGATGCTGAGAGAGGCTGCACATTAAAATCACCTGCAAGTTAAAAAATATATAATCCTGAGCCCCATCTGCAGAGATTCTGATTCAATTAGGGTTAGGGCTAGTGCAATTTTATATATATATATAAACGCAAGGGTCACAAAATTATGAAATGAGAGGAGGAGGTGGGATAAATCAGCATATTAGGGGATATTATTAAACCACAGCTCGCTTCTCAGAATTTGAGAGGTCTGAGCCAATTCCACATTTTGACAATGTCTATATGTTTCAATTTTTTTTTTTTTTTTTTTGCGGTACACGGGCCTCTCACTGCTGTGGCCTCTCCCGCTGCAGAGCGCAGGCTCCGGACACGCAGGCTCAGCAGCCATGGCTCACGGGCCCAGCCACTCCACGGCCTGTGGGATCCTCCCAGAGCAGGGCATGAACCCGTGTCCCCTGCATCGGCAGGCGGACTCTCAACCACTGTGCCACCAGGGAAGTTCCTGTTTCAAATTTTTTAAACGTCAAGATGAGATTACAAAAATTGAGGTATACTTTAAATAGGTTTAGCAAATCAATGCTTTTAACATACAGATACAATGACTCTATATATACTTCATCAGGAGGTAACATTGAAAATTGACATTTGAAATTTTACAAATGGCCTTCCTGTCTGTCCTCTTGCATACACTTCTTGAGACCACTTTGACAATATCTGAAAAATTCAAAATGTTCGTGTATTTTGGCCTTGCGAAATCTGCCTTCTCACAAGAAAAACAAATACAAAAGGATAGTCATTGCAGTATTGTTTTTAATAATGAAACCTAGGGGAAAAAAGTCAAAATGTCCATCATTAGGTATTTGATTACATGGATTGTGTTATATCCATACAATCCGATATTGTGCATGGGTTAAAAAGAATGAAATAGGTCTACATACATAGCTGACATGAAAAAAAAAGTCCATGTTTTATTTTTAACTTTTTTTCTTTTTTGCGGTACGCGGGTCTCTCACTGCTGTGGCTTCTCCCATTGCAGAGCACAGGCTCCGCAGCTATGGCTCACGGGCCCAGCCGCTCCGTGGCATGTGGGATTCTCCCGGACTGGGGCACGAACCCTCATCCCCTGCATCGGCAGGCAGACTCTCAACCACTTCACCACTAGGGAAACCCTCCACGATTTAGTTTTAAATGAGAAAAGCAAATTGCAGGGTAGTTAAAACAGAGAAAAGTAAAATTATTTATCACATCTAGCTTATAAACAGAGGCCTTGCCTCATCACCTCTAATATTTAAGTGCCTACCTCCAGCTGAACCTATATCCGAATCCTTTTTTACTGCAATGGAACAGATATTATTTCATTATAGATATGAGGGAAACCTCTTCCAAGGAAAGCCGAAATAGCTCAGTTGGGAGACCATTAGACTGAAGATTTAAAGGTCCCTGGTTCGATCCCGGGTTTCTGTGACTATCCTCCTTTCAATAACGTGCGTACTCGTCTACCCCTCTGTGAGGCGGGGATCTCAGGCTGCTGCCCAGGTGTCACTTGAGCATGGATGATAATGTGCTTGGGTGGATGCGGAAGAACAGGCCAGCTTTCTTTCTTTTCTCTGGGAAGGAGGAAACCGTAAAGGGATTTATGTCTTTGCCTTTAAGCTGCTCTGTGTGGCTGCTCTGTGTGGCCGGCGGGCTCTCCCCACACACGGTGCGCCGTTCGCTTTCTAATTCATCCCAGCCCGCCGGCTTCTTTCCCACCACTTTCCAGGAGCTGCCGGTGTTGGACTCTCTCTCCGCTGGGACGGGCGCGCCGACGCTCCGCAGGGGGAATTGGCGGTCATGGAGCCACCACGTGCGGGGCGCGGGGCTGCACAGAAAGAAATCGTCGATTTCAGCTTGGGGTTTAACAATAACAAGGACAGCTTTTGCTGATGGTGGCGGCGGCGGGGTGGGGTAGGGTTGGAATTCCTTTCTGGTGTATGTCTACACTAGCGTTATCAAATCAAATACAGGACGCCCATTTAAATTTGAATTTCGGAGAAACAAGGACTATTTCTAGTATAAGCCTCCCAAAGATTGGCATGGGACATAATACACATTCGTTATTTTTCTGAAATTCAAATTTAACTGTATTTTTATTCGCTAAATCGCAAACCACTATTGTACATCATATCCCCACACATCTCTGGA